ACACAGCGAGAGGGATCAGCAGCCTGGAGAGTGCACAGAGCAGCCAAGCAGAACCAAACAGGAGGGCTGAATGCAGATGTGGGAATTCTGCAGAAGTTCAGAAAAAGTTATTTACGATGGGTGAAATGAGCGTGACTATGGGGAGCGCTGAGATGTGAATGGAGATTTGCTTTGGACCATATCTAGTTTTGGTTTATAGCGAGGGTAATCCGGCATGGTGTAAAAGCTATGAAAATGTGTAGGGTAAGAGCTATAGACAAAAGCCAGGTGGAATGAATTTGAGTGACTTTACTGAATGTTTAATGTCCTATATTGCACAAAATGGATTCTTGTGAGCGTTAAACCATGTTACAATGTTGCTACCTCATCAAAAACATCCCCAGAGTTGTGTTTTGGTTCATTCATACATGTTTGAGTAACTCTTTATTATTAGTCTGTCTGCATCTCCAAAGCTCTAAACCAGGGGTGTCAAACTCATTTTGGTCCGGGGGCTGAATCCAACCTATTTTGATCCCAAAGGGGCCGGATCAGAAAACTCATGGCATATAAACCCCAAAAATAACAATAAGTTCAAATAATTGTGCAGAGAAACACAAATCTAATACAGAAATCTTTTTTAACTGATGAACTGTTTCTTTTACAAAATATTATATTATGAACAACCTGAAACTTTAAGAAAAATGCAATTTCAACACAATGTTTTAACATGAACTTGTATGCAAACAGGAATAAGTAAATTTTTCTTGGAAAATCCGGCACTCGGCGTCCACTTTTCTCATTTTTAACATTTTTCTGATGAGGGTGTCACGGTCAACAGTCAAAACGATCGTCCTTTAAGAGCGTTTGAAAAGAGACAAGTCTTCATTTGTGCTGCTCTGGTGGGAGGGGCCATGCACAGAGACGCTGGAGACACTGTTATGCTAAGCACCGCAGAAAATTACCAATATTTTAATAGAAAATATAATTAAAATATTTTAGTAGAAAATCAGCCGAGGGCCACATTAAAGGTCTTGGAGGGCCGGATCCGGTCCCCGGCCTTATGTTTAACACCTGTGCTCTAAACGCTCTGTTCTACCTTTTGACATAGATTCTACTGGACGTTTAAAAAAAACAGTGGTGCACTTCCTGCATGGCCACATGACATGACAAGAGTGTTTTTTTTTCTCTGTAAGAAAAGAACTCAACCTAAATATGCAGGGTTTGTGTGTTAAAGGGACAGTCCAGAATTTTGAACATAGGGTCTCATGTCCTAGTGAGTGTTGGAGATGTGTGGAGACACTTTTTAAAATATTCTATCCAGTCCTTGTATTTGCAGAGGTCGCTGGTGCTAGGCTAGCGCATGTCAATGGCCATAGTTAGCCTGCCACTAAAAACAGTGTTACCCACTGCACAAAGCACCTGAAGCAAATCTGTTATTATGCCAGACTGTCTATGTGAATGTCTGTGTCAACAGAATAATTTTAGAAGTAAAAACCAACCTTGTGTTTGAACGGCAGCAGTGAGTTGTACTTCCTGATAGAAAGCTTGGCAGCGGCGGACTGATATTTGAGAAAATAGTCCCTCAACATGCGATGATTCATGTGATGCAGGGTTAGTTTTATTTCAAACATTATTCTATCAACACAGACATTTACATTGACAGTCTGATGTAATAATAGATTTGCGTCAGGTGTTTTGTGGAGTGGGTAAGACTGTTTTTAGTGGCAGGATAACTATGGCCATTGACATGCGCTAGCCTAGCACCAGCGACCTCTGCAAATACAAGGACTGGATAGAATATTTAAAAAAGAGTCTACACACATCTCCAACACTCTGGCTAACTAGGAAATGAGGCCCTATGTCCAAAATTCCGGACTGTCCCTTTAAACATGTGTGAATGAATCAAAACACAACTCCAGGTATGTTCTTGATGAGAAAATAACATAGCATAGGTAAGAAAACAATGTAATATGGGCCCTTTAAATTGTGTTGGAAATAACAGATAATGGATAATATGAGCTACAGACAAGCGTAATAAAGTGTATTGAGTGTAAAAACATAAATGCTTAAACCCTATAGGTATACGAATTGCAATGTATTCTTTTTGCAATGTCGCTTTTCTGTTAGAGGTTTTGCTATCTGTTTTTGTATGAAGTAATTGATGCTTTGCCTGGAATCTTCACAGTACTGAACTAAACGTATCTATCTCCATGAAAAATAGGATATAACACCATCAGGCCAAGTTACAGATCACATCCGTGGAGAGGCAACCCCCGCTCACATTAGGTAACAAAATGTGTTTTTCAAGGTATGTTTTTAAGCAATAAAAATCATAAATCAAAAATCAGCATTTGCAAGGCAGATGCTGAGTTTAATGCTATTCTGCAGGCTGATGGCATACACGCACATCACCAGTAAAATGACATAATGCATCTTTAAAGTGGTACCAAAACACAGGTGTTGGTAAAGATGAGGGGCTGAAGAGGCTGAGGGAGATGATGATTCAGCTGCTGTTGTGAAATGAGGGTGTATGGACACTGACGCATGTGTGGAAAGATGAAGAGGAGAGAGAGAACAGTTAAACTATCATAGACTGTATATTTAAATGGACATAACTAACCCAATAACCTCTGCGTTCCAAATAGGAAGTGGGCATGGGCACGCTGACTCTGGCTCCAATTCACAATCATTGCACCTCTTTCTTTAACTGCTGCTGTCATGTTCTTTATTTTGGTCTTAAAATGTTCACATTAACCCACTCTACATGATCCTGTTATTTTTATTTCACTATTTTGTCAAAAAAAAAATCCTAATATAGAACTTGAAGGAAAATGAGTGCTCACTTTTGTTCATGTTAAACTTTTCAGAGATTATATGTCTGCAGGTCACACGCATAGACTCTATATATGAATGGACATATATCCTAGCCCCCTGAAGTTTTGGTGGTGAATTACTTCACAGTGCATAGACCTCGACGCAGATCCATAAATGAAAAATGACGGCGACAAGGCAACGGTGGCAGTGCGCATTGAGTAGATGCAGAACTATACTTCACCCTTTAGTCCACTTCTTTAGGATGTGATTGGCTGACATTGACAGGTGAAAGAGTAAAAACAAAGTAGAAAGTAATATTGTCTTACTTGCTCAATTTTATGTTTCACTCTTATGATACAAAAGGGTCCATGCACTCATAATAGTCATTAAAGTTGGTCTAAACACTAAATGATCTTTTATAACCCAAAATTATGTAGATGACATTGTAGTACCATTCTCTACTGTTCCGATAGTCCATTTCTGACAACTTCAGTGTTATTTTCTACCACTAGATGGAGTCAAGAGTCAATGCGTTTCTGTCACAGACATCTCCCAATGTTGTGACTTTGTTTTGTTTGTTAGAAGTCATTACAGACAGTGAAAAGTAATCAAAAATAGCAGAATCTTTTCCAAAACAGTCACACCTGCTGCTCTCCCGCTGCTCCCATCAGGAGTCGGTGAAGGCAGGAGGCCAATACAGATGCTCACACTGTTCAATATCACCGCATAAAGCCAGCTTTGAGTAAGACTTCATTCATTTGTTTTACAGCAATTTGTGCATTTTACTTTAAAGTGCGTTTGACAGGTTAGACTACTCCTTTGACACACACATACATTCATACAAACATTATATCTTAGATCTTACTCAGAATCTTGCTTAGTTTAATGTAAAACTATTTTAAATATAACAATACTGCTATCCCACAAACCAAGTAATAATTTGAAAAACGTGAAAACTTGTCATTGCACTTTAAGCATGTAATGTTATATATCCATCGGTTTCAGAATGATGAGAGATTTGGACAGTTTCCATTAGGGGTAGTTATTCAAGTCTCATGATACGATATCATCATGGTATGAACCTCACGGTACGATATTTATTGCAATATAGTGGGAAAGCTCACGATATGGTGGGGAGGCTCACAATTAGGAATGTAACAATATCCAAATCTCCCGGTACGATATTTTCACTGTATACATCTCACAGTACGATATTTATTGTGATATTTTGTGGAGGCTGCGAACAAAACTGTGGATATGCTACTTTTTCCTCTTAAAATGCCTTGACAAGATTTAATCCAAAGAATTAAGACTTAAAAGTGCTTAGAACTGTTATTTCTTCTTATAGTCTACACTGAAATGGAGCAAAAGATCATGGTCTATGTAAATGTCTCTCTCTTTTTTTTACTATTGCTGCACCATAGCTCTTAATTTAAGCAAAGAGACTTGTAATTCGATATATTGTGATGGTTCACGATATTATTGTGAGAACTTTGACGACACGATATCACAATATTTTGGTTATTGTTACATCTCTAGTTTCCATAGCAATTATCCAATCTTATCCAATCCACTTTATTTATATAGCACATTTCATAATCAAACAGTTTCCAAAGTGCTGCACAAATGCATAGTATTAACAACCACACAAATAATATAATGATGAAATAAATGCTCCGATTTAATCATACTAGTCTTAAAACCATCAAAATAAAATAAAATAGCAGTAAATAAATAAATAAAACCAGTAAAAATAAATTAACTATACAAAATATTACATCTTTGAATGGGGAAAACGTCTTCAAACTTTTGTATACAAATTGAAACTGAAATCATGAATATTTGCAAATTTGACACACAAAAAGAAAAAAACATGATAGAGAATTCAGGGCAATTCAGGGCAGGCCTATTATTTGACAAGACTGATATTGTGTTTTCCTACTAAACTAATAATTACCTGTAATAATAAAACATAATAAACCTAAAATATACAGACATTTTCGAAACATTAGTTATCCCAGTGTGGTACAAACATGCAAATTAAGAAACATTTCAAAATTCCCCTTGTCTCTCAACATTCTGATTTTGGCATTTTACGAACTGTTGTTGTTGTTTTTGGCTCGAACAGAAACATATGACATTGCCATGGTTCAGTCACTTGTGGAGCTTTCCAGTTGTCTGTTTGTTTCACTCTTTAATCAAACTCGAGGCACTTCACAGACTTTGCCTCAAATTGGAGCGATAGCTGCTTTTAATTATTCAAATTGATTCATCTAGTCACTCTCCTTCAGTGTCACCATGAGTACTGGGTAAGACTATTTTATTATTAGTGTAAAATGTTCATGTAGTCAGTTTTTAGCACTGTAATATTTTTTATTTCATTGTGCTGCTGCAGTTCGCGTTGCTCCGCGAATAAGGAGAATCAGGAGGTGGTACCGCAGATCAAAGCCCAACTGGAGGTGCTGTTTTCGGACGAACATTTGGCTGAAGATGGCTTCCTCCTCAAGCATATCCAGAAGAACAAGGACAGATTTGTGAAAATCAAGCTCCTCACCTGCTTCAAGAAGGTAAAATTTGCACGCGGCAGGTAGAATTAAAGCATTAACGTGGTGGCAGAGTAGTTAACGCTGCTACCTCACAACAAGGGAGACTGAAGTTTGATTTCTGGGCCTTGTTCATAGTTTTCAGTTTAGTGTTTATCAGAGCAATTTGAATAAAAACAAGACTAAAGCAGACACAAACCCATAATAAATCTAATATTAATTGCATTTAATTCAGTCAGTGTGAACCAACATATCTTTGCTCAAATCACTTTTTTTTTTCCAATACTGGTTGCTAATGTAAACAAATGAGAGCTCCAAAAGAAACATTAACAGCCCAAAATGATCAGTATTCGGGTGATTTTTAGCTGTAATTTCTTATAGATTAATGGATTTATGAATGGTTGGTTGCCAAATAAGTCCTCATTTGGGAAAAGCTTAACATACCAGTTAGTCCCGTTAGTGGTGCATTACATACATCACGACCAAATAGCAGCGACTGGTTAAATGATATAACATACCCGCCTACTGTCGAGCGAACTAATTCTAATGCTGCAAGGTCAGACGGTTTCCACAAAGTAAAACCCGCTGATGAATCTGGCTAATATTGTGGTTTCCTCATCAAAAACATCACTGAGTTGTGTTTTATGTCATTCACACGCAGACCCAGCATATTTAGGCTGAGTTCTTCCCTAAAACTGAAACCACTCCATATGCCTTTACTAGAGTCTGCCAAACTCTGCTGAACTAAAAATAAAAAGTAACTTGAAAAATATTGCTGAAACAGAGCATTAGGCATTTAGCATTTAGGTCTTTCGAGATGTAGACAGACTGATAATAAATGAAACGAAACACAACTCCAGGTGTATTTTTGAGAAAGTAACAACATTTTAACATGGCTTAAAGCTCAGAGTCAATTTCGTGTAATATCAGACCTGTAATAACAACTGAATTTGCTTTGTGTTTTGTCTAGATAAAAGTCTTGACTGATAACTGGTACATGACCCTCGCAGCAGCTCTCCTCTCCCCTCTACTGGAGGTGAGCTCTGAGTCCACCAAAGTACGTCGCCTGCGTCCTTACCCTGAATGGCTCCTCTGCTCCCCCACCAGCAAAAGCCTCCTTCTGTGGAACCTCCCCTCAGACTGGCTAACCCCAGCTCCCAGTAACCCCCAGAACCTCCACCCTGCCCCCACTTTACCCCAGAATCTCCTGCACAAACTCAGCTCCTATGGCACCATCACCTCCCATTGGTTACTACCTCCAGGTCAGGAGCTACCGAAAGAGCTTCAGTGCTATGCCAAACACAGGAGGGAGCTTGGTGAGTGTTTGTGCGCTGTGGTGAAGTTTGACACCCTGGCTGCGATTCGGAAAGCGTACGGCGAGCTGAGGGGGGCGGAGAATGTGCCTGCTGTGAAAAACCTAAACATTGTGACTTTGGGTTTCAGGTCTGCGTATCTTATAAACAAAGAGCAACAAATACAGAACCAAGTGGATGGGAGAGAACCAGTTGAGGTGGTTCCTGAAGTAAACGAAATGGCTGAAAATGTGGAGAAGCAAAAGAGACAAGAGGCAGTGGGTGAGGGGACACATTCGGAGTCAGGACGTACAAAGGTGCTCGTAAAGGAGTGTCTGGATGCTGGAGACTACGCCCAGGTGCCGTGCTTGTGGAGGAACAGAGTGGCTCGGCTCAAAAACCATGTGAAAGTGATACGTCATCCAAGAGGCCCAGACGGTACCAAAGGGTTTCCTGATAGAAGGAAGCCATATGCGTGAACATTTGTAGTTAAAACATATTTCAGTTTCCAATAAATTATTAGTCTAGATAATATAAATAATCTTTACTGTCCAGTCTACTTTTTTTTAATCACAGGTTTGGGGCATTACAGAGCAACTTAACAGCCTTGATACTTTGCAGTGACATCACGCTGGGGGGTGGTGCATGTATGTTTATGGTGGAATGTTCAGTAGTTATCATGTTGGCAAGAATGCACACCTTAACAAACACTGCCTGATAAGTTTTTAGACTGTCTCAACACAAAATTGATTTACACAACACATTTTTAGGAGCCTGTGATCAAAACAAGCATTCACGGTCCAGTTCAGGTGTTTGATTTTCAACAAAAAAGGTGAGAGTGACCAACTGAAAAGCTGTTGGCGAGCTGGTGACTGTAATTGTTTTTGTGTGAGAGAGTTGCACAGATCAACTCATCTGTTGTAGTTTGAGCTAAGACAGCTCTTTCTGGTCAGCTTACATTAAAACAAAACTCAGATTAAAGTCTAACAGAGCCTCAAACAGAGCAGTGCCTCCATTTACCATCACACCCCCAGGGAATGTTGATGACTTCAACTGTCATCAGTACCAATTATCCAAATGTTCATAAAACATTCTGTGTTGTCCTTTTGTCATGTGAAACAATGTTTAAGTGGAGTTAACAGCAGTTTGTTGTTTGTGTAATCTCAGTTTTAATGATGTGGCCTGCTTCACCACAGACACACACATAACTGCTTTAAGTCTGTGCTCTGAATCACTCCAGTGCTTATATCATGAGGGTGTTTCATAACCAACATGGTTTATTTAGAACCACATAAATGTCCAGTTACATTTTGTACTTCTCAATAGAGCACCTTTTGCACTATGTAATTTATCTGATGCTTGACTCAAAGAAGTTGCTTTGCTTCAAAAGTCTTGTATTTACTCAATAGAAAAAGGTGTTCTTATTCACAAAATTGCATTATTACTGTTAGCGAGGTCACCAGTCCACAGATCTGATCTATAACTTAAGCTGCCAAACCTGATCTCCATGGAGATGGTTATGTTTAAGGCCACACTGTTGAATATTCTAGAAAAACCTGCAACATCTCCATGGTGACAAGCAGGTGAAGAACCCTCCAACAGAAAGATTGCATAGTGTACCTTTAATTTGGCTACACATATTATATCTGTGTATAATTATAATATAATATAATAATTGGGTTATTTATATGTTATACCCTAATACACCAATTGAATAGCTTCCGTTACATGTGAATGATGTAGTTTCTGACATTGACCAGACGAGGGCAGCCTTTACTCGTGGTACGCACTAATAGACCGCCAACACTTGAAGTTTAATCCTCCAAATGTTTAGTTCAGCGCAAGTATTAACCACGAATACTGAAGTTGTACTTCGCCACGCACGTGAAGGGTTATTTTAAAGGTGTTTAGGTGCTGAAATCAGCCTCATTTCCAGTCAGAAACAAGCCCATACAACTCCGTCTGCCACTAATTACTGTATATTTGTATAAGGCCCAAAATGGCTTCACCTCGGTACCATTATGTCCAGAAGAAACATGTCGTCTTTCAGCAAAAGGTATGTACAAAAACTTCGCCCATTGTCTCTGGCTTTATTATGACTGACTGGTGTTTAGACTTTGGTTCTGTAAAAAGCAGGGCTGGAACGCAGGTTAACAATTAGGCCACTCACGTTACTATAATTGAATTGATGTTTTGGGTTGTACTTTTTGAGTAGATTTTCAAACATGTACTTGTACTTGTAGTGTAATTGAGTATAATTCTACCCATGTAATTGTCATTTGTTACATTTAAAGTCATATAAGTTTCTGAGTAGGCCTAAAACTTCCAATAGAAACACACGAACGGCACTACATCGCCTCCTGTGATTGACCATTAAACTGAATGATTTAAGTTTTGTACAAAAGTGCTCTAGGGTTATACTAAAATACTAAAAAGAACTTGCAAGAAGTACTTTGTGTAGTTTTTCATGTCTACTTTTTACTTAAATAGGCCTATCAGTTTGGCAACGGTATAGTACTTGCGTAGACCTGCTTGTAATCGAGTAGACGTACACTTTTCAGCCATGTTACTATACTTTTTCAGTACTCTTTCCACCTCTGATGAAAAACGCTTTTGCTTATTTAGATGGGATGACAGTGGGTTTGAAGGTGTCTTGTTCGCTCACGTAACCGCGCGTTGGGAAAGGCGCAGGCTGCAGCGCGCGGTAACAGTGGCGTCCTGAGCGCACCTCGGCTGGAGCGGCGTGTTTACAGTGTCACTGATTGAGGGCTTCCTTAAAATCTCGCCCAAAGCTAAACAGAATCTGCTCCTGTCCTCCTTACTCATCCACGCCCAATGGAAACGCTTCAGAGCATTCCCAAGAGCTGAGATGTCATTTCACTTTTGAACTTTTGAACTTCTAAAATACACAAATTCTCAGCAGTATTTATTTAGAAACAATTTATCATTCAAGTAGTCTCAATTAAAGATGCATTATGTAACTCTTTTTTTTGGAAAGCCTGGCACCTACTTGTCTCCGTAGAGATGTCATTGCTATGACTTGAAAGCCAAGTTACAGGTCAGATCTGTCATTGTGTGCAGAGGCAAGCTCACACTCAGAATGTTCGTCATGGTATTTTTGAGCAATAAACCACACGGAGCCTGGAGCGTGTGATATTTGTTCTGACAAACTTTCTCCATAACCACAAGTGAGCGTGTGCACCATCACTGTGTGTCTGAGTGTTTATATAAGATTTTAAATCCTCATGCGATGTGTGACACCCAACAATCTTATGAGAGGAAACAAAAAACAAAAAACACTGTTAAAATCGTTATATTACAGATTAGCAAAAACATTCACACACATTTTCCCAATTTGGCAATTTTTATAGGTTACTTCCTCATGGTGGTGTGAAACTAGTTATAGTCCCACCAAATTAAAGTCAAAATTAAACATAATAAAAATCTGTCACACACATTAAGATGCAGCTTACTACCCAAGTGGGGATGAGGCAGCTAAATTAATAATATTATAATGCAAATACATTGTAAAATCAAATGTAAAGAAAAAAAAAGTATCCTTATAGCTGTGGTCTCCAACCTGTATTCTCGGGAGCAACCAGTAGCTCTCCTACCCTTTTCTAAGTAGCTCACCAAGGGATTTCTGAATGTTATGTATTGCAGATAACAAGTAAAATTTGATTAATTACCATTGTAAATGTGTCATTTTGATGCGTAACTTGGTGCATTGATAAATGGATAATGGTTTATGTTTTACAAGCAACTAACTGTTCTCCATCTAAGGCTCACCATGGCTCTTACAGTTACTCAGTTTCTTTGCATCTGCTGAAATTGGTAGCTCTCTGGCATTTTTGTTTTGTAAAGGTAGCTCACTGGAGAAAAAATGTTGGAGAACCCTGCCTTATAGTGATGTTTGATGTAGGACAGACAATGGCCTGAGACAGTGATGGGAATTGTGTAACAAAGTTAGGGGCATTGGTATCATAAGAAGTATAGTACTAGTAGCAGTAATCCAGTATCAGCAAAAGTAACATGAGAAAAAATAACCCCAACTGTAGTTTCAAGTGTTGATCTGAGCAATGTACGCCTACCTTCACTTTTACTTTGGTAATAGACAGGGATGCACCAATACGATATTGGTATATCCAATACCAATATCAGCACTGATACTGAACATGTTACTGGATTGGATATCGGTCCCAAGATATCGCTTCAATTCATGTCCTGTTTTTGTATGTAAATTGATGTAATATGATGATTTACTGGACAATGTTGGCCCAAAAAACCTCATAATATTGAGAAAACCGTTCTGTATTTACTTTACATGACAAATCACAGTTGCAAAACACATTTGGATAATTGTTTACAATACATCACTTGTGTTAAAAGAAAATAAATAAAATCACCATTCTCTCGACATGAGTATCGGAACTTAAAAAGCTGAATGACTGCATCCCTAGTAACAGTTATACTACTTTGCAATAACAGTACATTCGCTGTACTTCACCCACCCTTTTTTACTCTCTGTAGATTGAAAACATGCTGCGTTATTCGTTCTGATTGTGTATACTCAAAATGTCAGAGTGCCTGTGTGACGAATACAATCACAGAAACCCTATCCTGCACAGTCTCTTCTCTAGTCAATTAACAACTCTAGTTCATTTTATTGTACCGCATTTTGTCTTTGAACACATCTGCAAGCAATATGTGTGGCTCGAGTAAATGTCAGGAAATGTTGCTGTGTTCCTCATTCAAGGCTGGAGACGGCATGAAATCCAACTCACTGGAAGCTATTATTACGTGTTTACTTAAGATTTTTCACGCCCAGTTATTAATAAGGTTTACAAGTCAAATAAGTTACCCGTCAAATTTATTAGCTGTGGAGTAGAGGAGGTTGGAGTGCACCTGTTGTCTGCACACATTGGGTATTTGGATTTTACAAGACGTCTTATAGGTCACAGTGATAAGGACCAGAGTGAAGCCTTGTGCACACTCTGGGGAAATAGCGGCACTGGTTTCGTCAACATAGGAAGAATTTGAGTTGCCACATGAGGAATTTGAAATCCTGGCACTTTAAAGAGGGTATTTTACTTCTATGGGGTATTAACTGCTAACACATAACATTTAGATCACCATGTTAACTTTTATTGTGTTCAAAATGCTATATACACCGAAAACAACGTATTATTTAGCATGTTTTATGAGTCTCTCCTCCATCTCCTCCCACATCAGCGTGCATCCTGGTAATGAATCTACTGCACATCACATCAAGTTTGTCAAGTTGCTGTGTACAGCTTTGTATCTTGCTTTTTTTATGAGCGCATGGATGATGTAACCGTTAGCAGAGTTTAAATAGGACCTGGGAGAGATCGCTAAATTACTGAAACATGCATGGGCAAGGGAAAGTTATGACATGGCAGAAAGCTTAAAAAATTGATTTTGTATAGCCTCTGTTTAAAATATTTTATAGTGCATAGCA